GGCGAGGAGGCTGCGACGACGATGCCGCCAGCGACGGCGACGACCAGGACGACGCCGGCGACGACGACGCCGACGCCGAGGACGCCGATGCCGCCGACGCCGAAGACGCCGAGGGCGACGGCGACGCCGGCGACGACGACGCCGAGGACGCCGAGGACGACGAAGACGAGGGCGGCCATGGCGATCTGGGCGCGCGGCGCCGGCGCGGCGGGGCTCCCGGGGGGCCCGCAAGAAGGCCCGCTTCATGTACGACTTCTCGCCCATGAGCGTGCAGGTGAAGAGCAGCAGCAAGCGGCGGCGCTTCTCCGATGTTGCACGGCCTCCTTCCCAGACGTTGATCGCGTCGCAGGAGGAAATCATCAGATCAGGACGGAGGGTTTGGGATCGTTTTCGGCCTCGGAGGGCCCTCGCCGGGCCTCGGGAGTGTCAAACAACGATTCAGGATGAAAAACAAGTCCCGGGGAAATGGGTCGAGACCTCTGGGGGGTCGAGGTTATGCAAAAGCCAGGACGTATCATGTCTGGGTCCTCCTCGTAGTTATCGCCCGTTGAGTTTGCCCTGTGCCTGCCGGGCTGATCTTCCTGCACCAGTTCTATGTACCATGCTTGTTCTCTATCTTCGGCGCGCTGATGCATGCTGCATCTTGTATGAAGTCGGCCTCGCCGAAGTCGGTCTTGCTTTTGGGATATGTGGAAAAACGCACACAGGTGTGATGATGCATGCTGTATTTTGACGTATTTTGCACCCAGACATGCGACGTCCTGATTTTTCCAACACGGGTTCCCTGGGACTGGCTTTTCATCCTGAGTCGTTGTCTGACGCCCCCGAGGCCCGGCGAGGGCCCCACGGAGGCCGAAAACTACAAAAAGCCGCCCGTCTTGATTTTATTCACGACGCGATCATGTCTGGGTTCCGCGCCTTCCGCGCGGACTGTGCCGCCACGATACGGCCGCGGTGGCGGCCTCGATGGTGGGCGCCGCTGCGGCCACGGCGGAGGCCGCGGCAGCGTGGCACGCTGCCGCACGCATGGTGCGGAAGGTGCAGAGGTCGAGGGCGGGGGGGCACGGGACCCTGTGGTCCAGTCGTTGCAGTTTGCTGTCGCACCGGCCGTTTGCGCCCGGTTTCGTGCCCTGGGCTCCTCCTCCTCCTCCTCCTCCTCCTCCTCCTTTTCCTCCCCCTCCTCCTCCTCCTCCTCCTCCTGCTCCTCCTCCTCTTCCTCCTGCTCCTCCTCCTGCTCCTCCTCGCGCGCGCGCCTCACCATCGCCCTAGGCCCGCCAGATGGGATCCGAGCAGATGGGGTCGGTGGATCGCGCCGCATCGTCGATGCATCGACGATGCGGCTCGATGTGGAGGCCGTGTTTCCCCACGCCGACGTCGTCGATGCACCGCCGATGTTGCCGCCGATGCATCGGCGATGCCATTGGCGATGCGGCGCGACGTCGGCCCCACCTGGGAGGCCTCTGATCACAGATCGATCCGATGTCCCACCTCCCGTCGCCTCGACTGGCCCGCCGCCGCCGAGGGCTGAGGCTCGCGCTCGAGCCGGGATCGAGGGCGGAGGGGCCAGGAGTTCGAGGACCCGGCCGTCCATCGGAGGTCGAGGGGGAAGGAGGAGGAGGAGGAGGAGGAGGAGGAGGAGGAGGAGGAGGAGGAGGAGGAGGAGGGAGGAGGGAGGAGGGATCCAGCATCGAGGATCCAAGATCGAAGAGCCAGCACCCCCCTCGCTCGCCGCCGATTCGACGGGTGCCCCTTCTGTTCTTTGTGCGTGGGGCCTCCGCCCAGCAGAAGGCTTCCTTCGTCTTGGGCATGCCTCCACTGGGTCTCGGCCCCTCGGCGCCGGGCTCCCACGTTCTCGATCCCCAGACAGGCGACGTCCTGAGTTGTCCAATGCGGGATCCCTGGAAGTCCCGACCCTTTCCCAGGGACCGGTTCTTCGTCCTGGGTTGTTTTTTTGGGGCGGTCCCGAGTCTTGGCGAGGGCCTCCCGATGCCGAAAACTGGCAAGAGCTTCCCGTCCCAATCTTTTTACGACGCGATCATGTCTGAGTCCACGTCCTCGCGGCAGTGCTTCGGCAGCAGGCACGCGTGGTAATCAAGAAAGCCTGCCGCAAGACATCTGGAGGCACGCTTTTCGTCGAGCGCTGAGGACCCTAAGGTGCCCCAGGGCTTCTGTGGGTCCCTGGGGCCATCGGGGGAGAAGAAGCCTCTATGGGGCACCCGCTGGCAGGCGGCAGGCCAATCTCTTGCCCGGTGTTCCCACCGCAGTCGTGAGGAGCGCGGGTGGTTGTGACGAGCAGAGGCGCGTCTGCAGGGCAAACGTTCCCCCTCAGAGGGGCCCTTCCGGGAACGCTGGGGCCCTCACCGAGCGGCTCGAAAAACCCCAGTGGAAGCCCCTGGGGTGCAGGACGCGCTTCCACCAGGGCCCTTGCCCCTCCAGACCCCCTCGGGTCATGAACAAAATCCCGACGGGAGTTTTTTCGTTATTTTAGGCCTCCAGGTGCCCTTACCAGCTCTCGGGACCGTCAAAAAACGGCTCTAGGGATCAAGAACCAGTCCCAGGGAATGCGTCGAGATTTCTGGGGGTCGACGATATGCAAACATCATGACATCGGGGGTCTGGGCCTTTGTCATGCCAAGTGAGATGTATTCGGAGGTGAGGAGTCTGCTTGCCCCTGCAAGGTGGTACGAATTCGTGACGTCGCTCTTCGCGATCCTAGGTGGCGCGCTTCGATCATGCTTCTGCAGAGCACTTTGTACGCCGAGCGCTCACCATGCAGGGCTTGCTTCGTGAGATAGGAGGCGCCAGATTGACAGCAGGGTTGCCGTTGACATGAACATTGCGAGGCAAACTCAGCGAAACGAGCAGCGCATGAAGGATGACGGGCCGGGACCCCTCGGATAATCTGGGGCGCTGCGGGGAGGTTCCGGTGACAGCTTGGGGGCTGGCCCAGGTCGCCCAAATTGCTGCACCCCTGGTCTGGGCGTCACTTACACTGCCTGGGCGGCCTCTTCTGCCTTGCCTTGGCGGCTCCGGGCCGCAGCTGATCCCGGCGGGCCCCGGTAATCGGGGCCCGCTCCGTGTGGAGCAGCCTCGGGGCCGCCGGTACTCCCGGGCCGTCTCCCTCTCGGGGCCAACCTCGGCGTGGCCTCCGTGGAGGAGGAGGAGGAGGAGGAGGAGGAGGAGGAGGAGGAGGAGGAGGAGGAGGAAAGAGGGGAGGAGGAGGAGGAGGAGGAGGAGGAGGAGGAGGGAGGAGGAGGGAGGAGGAGGAGGAGGAGAGGGAGGAGGAAGAGGGGAGGAGGAGGACGAGGAGGAGGAGGAGGAGGAGGAGGAGGAGGACGGAGGAGGAGGAGGAGGAGGAGGAGGAGGAGAGGAGGAGGAGGAGGGAGCAGGAGGAGGAGTGGACGACGACGACGAGGACGATGAGGAGTTGAGGAAGAGGAGGAGGAGGAGGAGGAGGAGGAGGAGGAGGAGGGAGGGAGGGAGGGAGGGAGGGAGGGAGGGCGGAGGAGGAGGAGGAGGGAGGAAAGAGGGGAGGAGGAGGAGGGAGGAGGAGGAGGAGGAGGAGGAGAAGGAGGAGGAGGAGGAGGAGGAGGAGGAGAGGAGCAGGAGGAGGAGGAAAGAGGGGAGGAGGACGACGAGGAGGACGAGGAGGAGGAGGAGGAGGAGGAGGAGGAGGAGACGAGGAGGAGGAGGAGGAGGAGGAGGAGGACGACGACGATGAGGAGTTGGAGGAGGAGGAGAGGAGGAGGAGGAGGAGGGGAGGGAGGAGGGAGGGAGGGAGGGAGGGAGGGAGGAGGAGGAGAGGAGGAGGAGGAGGAGGGGGAGGGGGGTCGAGGAGGAGGAGGAGGAGGAGGAGGGGGAAGGGGGTGCAGACCTCTGGGGGTCGACGCTTTGAAAACATATCTACCTCGACGCCGCGGGTTTGGGGAGAGGGCTTGGTCGGCACGCGGGCACCTCTGCGTGGTTCCCCGCGTTGGTCTGTGCGTTATTCTCTGCATGCTGGGGGCCCAAAGTGGGTGCCCGTTCCGGGGGGGGGGGGGGGGGGGGGCGGCACCGAGTTCAGAAGTACCCACCCCTAGGAGTGTCTCACGAGGTGGAGAAGTACCCCTGGCCCAAGATACCCCTAGGATTCTCGGGGTGGCCCAGACGGCCTCCAGGGCACCCCTCACGAGGCCCAGAGGGTCCCAGGGGCTCCAAAGTGGAGCGGGAAGCTGGGGGTACCTTGGGCCAGTGGCACTTCTAGCAACAACCGAAGTTCGCATCCGCTAAACTTTGAACGAATTCGCAAGTAGGGCGGAAATTTCCGCCCTACTTTTCAAGCTCCTTTGATGCCGATTTGCGGCCCATTTTGCCGTATCGCTGCTTCCTGCATACATTTGGCGGAGCTGTCCGCCCTACAGTCAACCTGCATAGTATGGATGGGCAACCTCCCCAAGGGTACCCTTGCATCCTTGCCCCTTCGGCCCATCCTCAGCGACTCTCGCTGGTCAACCTCGTTCGAAAAACGCTAACGTGGTCCTCAGAGGCCCTTGCATCCTTATTATACGGGTTGGCTTATCTTTCTGGGGGTGACACTTCCGCCTTGCTTGTTCCAATCTTTGTGGGTGCATTTCCAGCACAGTTGCAAGTCGGAAAATCAGCCAAAGTACGGTGGATCCGAAGTCAGAGCACTTGGCCTTCCCGGGGGGGGCCCAGGGGGGGAGGGGGTCGCCAGTTCTGCATCCCTGAGATCGTGGCGTTGCAGTCTTCTGCCGCGGGCGTCTTCGCTCCGTTTCGGGCCCAGGGACCCTCGCGGATCGATGCGGCTCGAGAGACGACGCGGAAGGACGAGGTCCAGGGCTCCAGTCCTGAGTTTTGCGATGTCGCATGTGTTTTGCAGCGTCGGATCTCAGGGATTCGCCATGGTGGAGGAGCGAACATTGGAAAGCAAGCGGGCCCGTCCCACCACGATCGTCCAGGGCGTAAGTACGGGTCCACTCGACGCTGGGGCATGGGACACCCCTGTCGGGGCTCACTTGGCAGTGGCTTCGGGCATCCTTCCAATGCGGAGCCCCAGTCGGTGTTCCATGCATCTGACCTGCGGGCTGTGCGGCTCCAGTCGGCCCAGAGGGTGGCTCGGGGGCGCCCCCCAGACATGCGATGCTTCAAGCGGGGTCCCTGGAGGTCTTGACCTCTGCCCCGCATCTGGCCGTTCCTCCCGCGCCGCTGTTTGCTCGACAGCCGGGGGCCCCTGCGAGGACCCCCCGGGAGGCCGAACACGGCGATCCGAGTTGCGCCTTTTGGTGTTGCTTCGCTCCGTTGGAGGCCTGGATCGCCGGACCCCCACCCACGAGGGTCGCGGTTTCCCAGAGACGCCCCGGTTTCGGGAGCAACGTTTTTCGGCCAGTACCAGCGACGCCGCGACGCCTCGCGCGAGGTGGTCCGGCCAGTTTGCTTCGCCAGCGGGGCTGTCAGGGCTGCTTGGGGGGCGCGCCGGGGGACTCCGCCCAAGCGTGCCCGCTCGCCTGCCGCGTTGCGCCCCAATGTGGGTTGCGCCAGTGCTGGGTTGGTGCGTGAGGGAGCGGCTGCTGGCGCGGCATCGACCCCCCGTCACCCATGGATCCCGGCCGCCAGGGGCTCGATAGGCCCACCACGCCGAGGAACCTGGGGACCCGCTGTTGGGGGCCTTTCGCCGATCCCAGACCACCTCGCGCCGTGAAAAGAACACGGCGGGAGGCTTTTCGCTTTTGTCGGCCTCCAGAGGCCCTTTCTGGGCCTCGGGAGTGTCCAAGAACGAATCAGGATGAACAGCTGGTCCTGGGGAAGGGGTCGAGACCTCTAATTGGGGGTCGACGTTGTGACAAGATCACGACGTGGGGGGGGTCTGGGATCCATCGGCGATGTATTGCTGAGTCGAGCTCGATGTTAGCTCCCCCGAGCTGGTCCCTCCCTGGCGTCGTGGGCCTCTCTGGCGGCGCCCCTGGAGTTCTGTTGCTCCCATCGCACTTAAGGACCACATCCCAGAAATAATCTCGAGCACCCAGACAAGTGCCGAGACAGTGTCGAACGAGTGTCGCCTCCCAGGGCCCGGCGCGTTAAAACTCCCAGGTTTCGGTACTTTTCTGGTGCTCGAAATTCTTTCTGGTGATCAAGGCTATACAGTACAGTCGGCCCAGATTGGTAGGTCGACCCTGCCAAATCAAGGGTACCCTCGTGTCCTGTGTCTTGCGACCCATGCCTCCTGCAGTTCTGTGGCAACGTGGCCCTCGGAAGGGTCTTGTGTCCTCTCGCGTGCCCTCTCCAATGAAGTCCGACTGCAGGTCGGAACATCATAACCCTGGAGGGCCTCTCTGGCCGGCGGGCCCGCGCGTTCGCCGGCGGAAGGGGGAGCACGCGCGTCGGGCCCGGGCCGGCACAGCGGTGGCCCTGGCGGCGCGGCCTCGGGGACGCGCGTGCTGTGAGTGGCCGTCGTGGGCATGGCCCCAGGCACGATCGCGTCGTGAAAAAAAGTCCGGGCGCGAGGCTTTTGCCAGTTTTCGGCCTCGGGGAGCCCTCGCCAGGCCTCGGGACCGTCGGAAAACAACTCAGGACGACAAAGCGGTCCCGGGGACAGGGTCGGGACTTCCAGGGACCCCGGATGGAAAAAATCAGGACGTCGCATGTCTGGGTCCGAGAGCTCCCCAGATCTCCGGCGATGCGGTTCTTTGTGTCAGTGTGTTTTCCTCGCTGTCGTCCGCGCTGTCCCCAGACCCCCTCGCGTTGTGAAAAAACACGATGGGAGGCTTGTCAGTATTTTCTTCCTCCGGCGACCCTTGCCGGGCCTCGGGACCGTCAAGAAGCGACTCAGGACGAGAAGCCGGTCCCCGGGATGGGGCCCAGACTTCTCGACGTCGGGGGTCTGGGGGTCGCGCTCACTGTGCACCTTCGGCACGCCCGCGAAGGACGAATTACACGTTCCGAGTGGCTCCCGCCTCTGTTCGCCTCTCCCTGCGTCCTCCCCCTGCAGGTCCCCAGCGGATTTTTAACAATGTCGCCCCCCCGAGGTCTGGACCCATATCCGGGGGACCGGTTTTTCGTCCTATTTGACGGCCCCGAGGCCCGGAGAGGGCCCCTGGAGGCCGAGAACAGCGAAAAACCTCCCGTCCTATGATTTGTTCGTTGCCCGAGGGGGTCTGGGTCCTCCGCGCTCCTGTGCCCCATGCGTTTCGCTTCTGGCGCGTCCCGCCCGCAGCCCGACCGGCGCCTGCGCGCCGCCTTGGCTGCCCGCCTCTGCGCCTGCGACCGCGGATCGACCAAGAAACCCACGACACCACCCCACCTGCGGCGCGCCGTGCTGCACGTTTGCGACCTTGCCCCGCTGTCCTTCGCGTGGTGTTTCCTGGCCGACGACGGCATGACGGCGACGTGCTGGGCAGTCGTAGGTCGTCATGACTTCGACGTGCGAGAGCGTTTTTTGTTGTTCCTCTCGGTCTCGGGCCTCGTGGCCCGCGGGCGGGCCCTTCCTGGGGCCACCAGGATCTTGCGGATGCCGGGCGGAGAGCTGCGGTTGATGGACAAAATCTCGCACCAGCCGCGCAGCCTGAGTGAGCATGAGATGAGCATGCGATGAGCATGCAGTTCCACATGCAAGTCTAACCGTCTAACCGACCAGCGGGATTCAGATCGGGTTTCGAATCGGCGTGCAAATCGCACTGCCATCGGCATGAGCATCGACATGAAGTCGGGATGCCAGTGCAAGCGCAATCGACATGCGCATCATAATGCAAATGGAAACGCAGCTCGAAAGGCAGACCGGCATGCACATCCGAGTGCAAGTTTCCCCCCCCCTTCGTCATCCTTGCCACCTGCAGGGCGGTGCTCTACGAGGCAGTGTCACCAGGCGTACACCAGGAGCGGGGGCGCTATCTTCTGCAGCCCACCTGCGATCTGAAAGGCCCCCGGGGGCCAGGCTTCCTGCTGGGTGCTGGGAGGCTGTCCGCTCTGTCACACCGTGCCTGTGGCAGGCAGTCCGAGGGCACTGCCGAGCTGCTTCTGCGCCAACTGTATATCCGACCCCGCGGCGCGACCTCGCCTGGCAGATGTCCTGTCGAGTTGATCACCGCCGAGCCGGGACTTGATGCTGCCCCGTCTGGCTGAGGCCACGGAGGAGGCCCCCGACGGCTCGTTCGCTGGTCCTCGACAGGTTCCAGGGTCCTCGAGTTCCTTCCCGAGCTCGCCGGTTCCGTCACGCGCCACCAGGGGTCATCGGCGCCTCGGAGATGGGATCTTTCGGACGGGACTAGGTCCAGAGCGTTCCGGAACGCTTTCAGAGCGTTCCGGAACACTCGGAGAGGCCGCGGCGCCTGAGACACCTTCCAGAGCCGCGGGGCACCAGAGGTTATCCTCGTCCTGGCTTCGTCCTAACCCATACATGCGACGTCTTGATTTTTCCATATACGGGGTCCCTGGAAGTCCCGACCCTGTCCCCGGGACCGGTGTTTCGTCCTGAGTCGTTTTCGTTGGACGGTCCCTAGGCCTGGCGAGGGCCCCCCGAGGCCGAAAACGGCCCCAAACCGCCCGTCCTGATGTTGTCTACGGCGCGATCATGCTTGTGCTCGTCCTGGCTCTGTCGTAGCCTTGCGGGGCAGGCTCTGGAGGGCGCGGGGCCGCACGCGACGCGCCTCCAGCCTCCTGCCCTCGTTCGCCGAGGGCCGCGCGCCGCCTCCCCACGGGGCCCGCGAGGGCGCTGGCCGTCGAGGGGGGGGCAATGCCCTCTCGGCGGCGTGCCCTCTCGCGCCAACGCGGGGGCGCGCTCCGCGTCGTCCTCGTCCTCGCCGTCCTCGTCGTCTGCCCCCTCGTCCTCGTCCCGCGTCCTCCTCGTCGTCCGTGTGCGATGGTGCAGGCCTGGCCGGTGGCAACACCTGCGTAGCTCTACCTCTCACGTCACTGTGCGCTGCCTTTGCGGCGCACGCGTCTCTGAGGGGCATCCCGACTCATAGTGCCTGCGTTGTCCCCCAGGGGGGGGTCATATGCGGATAGGCTCACTGGTGCGACCATCCCTTTCTCAGGTTCTCAGCCACTTTTGCTGTGCCCTCTGGGCCATGTGGCCGTCATCGACAGTCTCGGTAGGAAGCTAAATTAGCGAAGTTGCTCGTCCACGTCGTCCACGTCGTCCTTGTCCTCGTCCTCGTCCTCGTCGTCCTCGTCCCCCGCGGCCTCCTCGTTCCTCGCTCCTCGCTCCTCCCCGTTCGTCGCCTCCCCGAAGGCCCCCCAAGCCCCGAGAGGGCGCCACGTTGGAGCTGCCGAGGTCAGGCTTCGCGCCGCCTCGCTGTCCCTGGCTGCCACCCTGCCTCCCGAAACTCGGCGCCCCACCCCCCGAGAGGTGGCGCATACACCGTCATGGAGCTTTGCAGCGGCGCGGTGGAGGGGCCCCCACCGCGGGAACGGCGCCTGCGACGGCGACGGCGACGGCGGCCACGACGACGGCGACGACGACGACGGCGACGGCAGCAAATTATCAAGCAAACAAGAGGTGTTTCGCTATCTTCGGCCTCCGCGGGCCCTCTACCGAGCCTCGGGACCGTGCAAAAGCGACTCGGGATGAAAAACCGGTCCCGGGGAAGGGGTCCAGGCCTCTCGAGGTCGACGCTGCGAAAAAATCACGACCTGGGGGGTCTGGGGAGCGCCCGCGGGAGCCAGCGGAAGCAAAAAATGAGGGCGGTTCCGCTGGCGGGAGCAGAAATCGTCAGCGTTTCTGGATTCGTGGTCTTCGGGGCGGGCCTTGCGAGGCGTCTTCGGGGGATCGAGAGGTTGCCATCTTTCTCCCCCGGCGGAAGGCCGCAGGCGCCGGCGGAAGCAAAACGGAGGGGGCCGCTCGGCGTTTGCCGGCGGAATGAACTGTCGCCCCCAAGAGGTGTCACGTTTTTTGGATTCGGGCTTCCCGCCGTAAGCATACACTTTTGGTGCTCCGCGCTGGTTTCTTGGATCGGCGCCTGGGGCCCCCTGGCGGCGCCTCTGGCGCCGCTCCTGGCGCTCTCCGCGC